GAGAATTCCGCTTTATTAGGGAAAGGTGCTGGGTTATATAGGAAGGGGCATGAATCGACTGAGGTGTCACTTCTACGGGGCTGGTGGCTGTTGGCTAGGTGCTGGGATTGGGAGGGGGGGTGAGAGGTGATTGGGCTTCAGGTGGTGCCAGCGGGAACCGAGGACCCCCCCCCCTGAAAAGAAGCCGGAAGTTTGCCATCTTACTGGTGGGGGCCCTTCAGGGACTGATACCTCTGGTGATTTTTTTTGGGTAGTGGAGGGGATTGACCTGAATTTTCAGTGCTGGGTAGAAAATGGAAGTCCTACAAGGAATAGTCCAGGCCTTTTTTTCTCCTATCAGCATGTAAATCCTTTAGGAATAGGCTAGTGACTTAATATTTTCAGAAGTTGACTTAAAGTACTAAAATGGGACTAAAAAGGAAACCTTGTTGACAAATATTTGGTTTTTACAGAATGCTTTGCCTGATAATCAAAATTAAGTTGGCTCCTGGAGTGGATTCTGAAAATGACTGCAAACTTCTTGAACAAAGAACAGATGGGATTTCAAACTGTACAACAGAAGAATTTCAAACTCTGAGGAACCTTCCTTTCATTTTACACATTATTAATTTTGGGGACTATATTAAATGGGTAATGATTACCCATTCATAACTAAGTGATTACCCATTTATAGCTAAGTTCTTAAAACTAGGCTTTCTGATTGTTTAAAAACTTTTTTTCAAATATGTGATGGCTTTACAGGGCTGAAAAGAGTATGTAAAAGTTTTGTGTATTAATCATTAAGAAATATAGTAATTTTTCAACATTTTAAAGGTTTACCACGGTTTAGCATAATGCAAATAGTATAGTGAAATAAAAAGGTGAAGTATTAAAAAAGATTACTCGAAAGGTAGGATTTTGAGAGGAGTTAAAGCTAAACAGAAAATGTAGACCCACAATGTATTGGCTCCAAGTACCAGTTTAATTTTTAGATTAAATGGTTCTCTGTTAATTGTTGCCACGTTGATACAATCATAGGGAAAATGCATAATACCAAATGTGGGAAGGCTAGGGTACAGATCCTTTTACCTTGAGGCTTTTCTCCTTTGAGCTTTTGAACTCCCTAAAATCGGACTATTGTGTTTCAAACCTACTTTTTATTGTGGTTGCATTAAGAATGTTTGTGGCCAAAACACATATTTTATAATCTCACTTAAATACTTAAGCAAAGTCAGCATATTTACTTTTTCCACAATTGAGTACACAGTTGCCCTAAGTTAGATTTTCTTAATCATTCCAGCAGTGAACAAAACATATCCTTTCCTTTATTGAGCTTGTTTTTTTCCCTCAATGTTAACAAGAATTTACATTCTAAGAGTGATGAGCTAGTATTTCATCAGAAACGTCACACTCCTAGGGGACTCTCTTGTTCCCTCCTGGTGTGAGCCAGCTCTGTCCTCTCACTTTATCTCTAAATAAAAGCCTCTCACTCGCTCTCCTAAAATAAATAAATAAAAATAAAGGCCTATTGTGTTGAGCCACTAAATGTGGCAGTAAAAAAAAAGGTCTCACTCCTAAAGCAGCTACTATACACGCCTCAGAAGCTATTCCTATTATGTAACATATTCTCATAGAGCAGATGTTAGAAAGGCTCTTGTTGACATTAGTATTTGATGTATGTGAATTGCCTAAATATTTTGGGAATATTCCCCCTTCCTTAGAAATGCATAGATGTGGTAAATTTTATGTTCTTTACCTTTTAGAATGGTACTTAGGGTTAGAGTGAGATCTGGATTGGTTTTGGAGCATTTTAATTACCTAATGCTGACTATAGAAAGTTAACAATTCTAAAAGGAAATTGGAGCTGTGAAGCTGTAACCTTTTTTGCAATGTTCAACCTTTTATGCAAAGGTTGAAGCATCTGGGGAAACACAGAACTGGGATTTCATTGAGTATACCAAACAGGTTTAATGAACTGTTTGTGCTGCTTGCTAATAATTTTGTCCAATAAATGTACGTTGTGTACCCAAATTTGGTCTGATGTGCGTTTAACAAATTGGTAGTGCGGTGATAAGGATTAACAGTTTTTATAGCTTAATGCTAGTTCACACACAGATTGACAATCTTTCTGAGCCTGAAGTCAACCTGTTCTAGTACAGGGAAGATGGAGAGATCTTAGTGTTGTCATGACTGAATGGTATACAAAAATGGTGGCAATGTGAAGGTTGAATATTTCCTACAGAAGATGAATAAGAAATTGTGCCTACCACTCAGCCATGCCATCTCATGTATAGTGACTGCATACAGTACCCACTTGAAGGCTTTTAAGTGAATGAGTTAGCAAACTTGCTATCACAAAAACAGACAAAAGAAGTGATTTTTAATCTGGTAAATTTCCTTGTAAATTTCACAATTTCATATAAGTGAAATTAGCTACCATTTGAAATAAATTCGCTTACTAGCAACTATGAATTCTTTATAAAAAAAAATTTTTAGGATGTAAAGTGTCCCATATACCTAGTCCCTAAACAGCATAGGAATACATTCAGACACTACAGGATTTTTAGGGTTGGTAAGGGTATTTAATGTCGATTATGCTCTAGGATGAGGGTCACAAAACTAAGGCCAATGGCCTGAATCTAGCCCACTGCCTCTTTTTTTATAAGATCTGTGAGCTAAGAATGGTTTTTACATCTTGAATGACTGAAAAAAAAAAAAAGAATATTTCATGACATTTGGACGTTACATGAAATCCATGTTTAAATAAAGTTTTACTAGAATACAGATAGGCCCACTCATTTACTTATTGTTTGTGGCTGCTTTCACCCTAGAGTGGCAAGAGTGAGTAGCTTTTACAGAGACCTATGGGCCACAAGGCCTAAATTATTCAGGTTTGCAAATTCCTCCTATAGGAGCTCTGCTTTAGATCTCACCAGTTAACACTTAGGAGCCTCCTGCGGTAACCTTTTATGATCAGTGATATTTCAAGTACCCCTGAGCTTTCAATTGACTTACATTTCCAAAAATACATAATCCATGTGGGGAGAGAAAGTATGCCACACTTCCACGAATGCAAAGAAAAGCTTTACCATATTAATTTACAAATCAGTTTATTTTAAAAAAATATTTTGAACTGGAAGAAACTGATTTCACATGAAAATAGGACATTCTGAAGGTAAATATTTTGAACATTACAGCACTTACTGGTTGCATTACTTTAAAAGATTGTAATAAGCTTGCAAACAAGAAAATACCAATGACAATAAATAGGCATCCTAGAAATAAAAACGTGAATGATGAGTAAATATGTATCAATCTACATTTGGAGTGTTGAATCAACATAAAAACAAATGGTCAGTTTCTAGTTTGTTAGTACTACTATGTGATTCAGGGGGTTTCAGCTGGACAGTATTTTAAAAAGAGCCAAAACTGAACATTCCTGTTTGATGTTTGCAGCTTAACTGAGTTGAAAACACAAATGTATGAAATTGCTGTTACACACCAGATATTAGTTTAAATGTTTCAAATAATACATTTCAACTGGACATTTTGACCAAATAGAAATTAAAAAACAAAACAAAATCCCACACAGTATGTTTCTGAAAGTTATTTAAAAATACTTGAAGCCCATTTTTGGAGTATTTTGCAATGTTATAAAAGCAGTTCTTAAATACATTGAAATTTCAAATACAATTCTACAAACTTTACAATATTTACAAACCCTCCATACTAAAAGTTGTTGAAAATAAGCTTTCTTAAAAGATAAAATTTACTTTAGCTGATATTCAAGTATTTCTAAATTAAGAATATAAAGTAATAATTACCTACTGTTAATAGTTAGAAAGGCTCTTAAAAACTTCTCCACGTGGAAGACTAAATTTGGCCAAGATCTGGTAACTGGGCGTGGTTAGACTTTTACAAGCAGTTAATTTCTACTTACCTAGTAATAATACACATTTAGGATATTTTAACAATTGATGGAAATGGTCAAAATATTGGATTTGCTAGTTCATAAAGTTGTTACAAAGTTTATCCACTGATAAATGTAAGGAAAATTGTTAATTCTATGGAATATCATTCTCTAGTGTGGATAATATAAAACTACTCTAAATCACAATTTACCAGCTTAGTATAAAATAATGAAATAAGGCAATTATAGTAACTTATTTTCACTTATAAGATGATCATCATAATGGAAAGTCACTTATTTTTAAAATAAAGCCCTCTCCATAAAAGTAGGGTAAAATTATTATTTGCTTAGAGTAGGAAAAAAGGGAGGGATGCTCAATCAATACATTTCATTAAAATTAAAGCCCCTCTATATATAGGAAAGGCAGAAATTTAATCTGGACACTCATATATCAGAAAATCACTGAAATAAGTTGACAACCTATAGCCTGTTAAGATTATAGCAGGGAAAATTTAGGCAGTCACAGTGAGATACCCAGTAAGAAGGACCTACATTAATTCCTAACACTGGATATTAGCAGCCCAAAGTAAACCAAACCAAAAAAAGTTTCACATTTCATATAAAATTAGGAAAAAAGGAACATGATAAATAAATATACTGAAGTTAAGTGTTTTAATTATTTTCAGCTTATATGGCTTAGGTAATATTTCTGAATACTTACAATGACCAAAGGCCTAACTTATGTTAACTGGCATTCTGAAGATAAAAGTCGGAGCAAAATTAAGTTTCTTCTGTTCTTGAGAATTCAAAAATTGCTTTATCATTAAGCCTTTTTTTTTTAATGTTAGCAATTTCATGCATCAATAATTTATAGGACATTTAAAGGGATCATATGTAGTAGACTATCACAAAAGTGAGAAACCACTGGGTGAAGCCCTCTTGGTTATGCATTAGAAAGTGTTTCATAAAGCAAACAATGCTTTGACCACACTATATACTACCTGTTTTTTTCTCAATTAACATAGTGTACTGAACTATATTAATATGAGTAACAGTTAGTTTAACAGTTATGGATCTACTAGCCACAAAATAAAGGGACAAAAATCATTTTTATTCAATGCAGCATAAGGTAAATGACTTTGTATAACTACTGATTTTCTATTTTTTGGTGCAAGACAAGACTATTCTGATGGAATTTTTAAATGCAATAAATTGATCACAAAATAATATAGAAAGTTAAAGTGATTAATGACTTTTAAAATGCCAGTGTTTTGATTTCATATTATCACTAGGTTTGGTCAGTCAATTCCTATTATGTTTAATGGCCTCTGAGAAAGGTAAGCTTGCTAATTTTATCATTTTATCTATTACAGTGTATACTAGGTTTATATCCATGCTCTGAAGGGCAGTTTGAACCAAGACTATTATGTAACACAGGTCCTAGCCTTCTTTCACTCTGAGATAGTGAATTACTACAAAAGCCACTGCTCTCTGGAAAACAGAGTTTGGGCCTCTGATGGTATTTCAATCTATATGTGTCAGTCATGCAGCTATCAACTGAAAAATAGGTAGTTAATGAAACTGTTTCATTTGGACAAGTAGATCTAGAGTCTATTTCTGGTTGGCAAAATGCATCAACATTTGTACCCAGGTTTGCCTGAAAATCATTAGTTGAAAAGCTGGATGGGTAGTTTGGTGTGTTGCCAAAATGCTCTTTTACTTGAAATGTTTCCTTAAGTCTTTCATCATTCACATAAGTACTCACTTCTGAACCTGGTTCTGAAGAGGTACCTAAATTGTGCTTCATAAAACTAGGATTAGCTTTATACATCTCTGTAAATTTGACATCAGGTGAAGACTCATTTTTCTCTGGCTGTGGCACACTGGTTGTAGTATATTTCTTTGGTGGCAAAGGAGGTGGTGGGTTCTGGCAAACAAGTTTTGGCATCTGACAACCATCAGATCTGCAGATTGACTGACTTATATGTTCCCTGTATAAAGAGTTCTCCAGGTAACGTTGTTCCACCATAGTTTGCTGATGGATGAGAGGAGCAATTTCTGGTTTTATCCCAACAGTTCTCATGGGTGAAGAGCTCAATGAAGATGGTGAGCCTATTTCATTACTGTTCATTCTCTTTCCAGAATTATCATCAGAATGAAGAAGTAAACCTGTTTTCTCAGAATCTTCTGTATTAGGCCAGTGAGAAAATTTACATTGACTTGGTATTTCAAGTTTCTGATCATCTGGCTGGTGGATATGTTGCCTTGCTGCATGGTCCTTGAGTATTTGCTGACTGGACGAAGGGTATAACTTTCCACTGATTTCACATATATGTGACCTGAAATATAAGACAAAAACAAAGCTAAAAACCCATCTGTAAATATGCACAACTGAAGGAAAAGCAAACATTTTTCTTGAGTTTAACTTCCCAATACAGTTGACCCTTAAACAATGTGGGTTTGAAAAACTGTGCAGGTCCACTTACATGTGGAATTTTTTCGATAGATATACTGGAAAAATTTTTTGAGATCTACAAAACTTCATCTGAAAAAACTTGCAGATGAACTAGCCTAGAAATATCAAAAAAATTAAGAAAACATTAGGTATATGATGATTTCAAAAAACATGCAGATAATCTATTTTACCATTTATCACCACAAAATTACACAAATATACTGTAAAAAGCTAAAATTTATCAAAGCGCATGCACACAACACTGGAGACCATACATGACACCATTCATAGGAGAAATGTAAACAAACTGTTGCAAATCTTCCCCCAAAATCTGCATGTAAGTGGACACACAGTTCAAACCCATATTGTTCAAGGGTCAACAGTAGGATATTAATAGTTAAGTTCTGGAGGAGTCAAAAATTATATAAGGATTTATGGCGTGTGGGGAAGGGTCAGCACCCCTAACCCCCATGTTGGTTCAAGGGTCAACTGTATATAGTTTACTTTATTTTTGTAACATAATAAAGGAAATGGGGAGTTATTTGCAACTATTAACATTTTATACTCTCCAAATCCAAAGTACTCCAGCATACATGAATGCTTACCAGGAACACTTATCATTACTAAGATCAGATTTCTAATAATCAGAAGTACAATTTAAAAAACTCATTTCAACTTACAAATACTGAAATGACAATTATTTGTAATAAAATGTAACACAGACTTAAAGAAAGCATTACAAGCAAAACTTTCAATACCCTAAAACACTGCCCAACGAACACTACAAAGTCTACGGCAATACAGGTGTACTTTAATTTTGATAGATAATGCTATAAGGATAGTATACTAATAACAAATAACTTAGTTAATCAAGATTACCTTTATTTAGGTAATGATTAACTTCTAAGGTGAAGATAAATATCATTGCAAATCATTTTTCCTAGTGTAATTAAATTATTTTTCTCATGTGAACTGCTTGGAATTCAGTTAGAACAGAATGAGGACGAGTTGATTCTTTGCCATGTAGTTAAGAGCCAAATTCAAATTTCAGCTCTATTGCCTTAAGCAAACTACTTAATCTAAGCCCCTAAATTTCTCTTTTGTAAAATATCATCTGTCTTGTAAGAATGTTCTGAGAATGTAAACAATCGTGTTGTACCTGGTACTCTGCAGGCCCTCTATCCTTACTCTGTATCCTTTTAATGCTCCCCAACAAGACGGGCATAATACTGTAGACCCACTGCTTTTAGAGTAGTAATATATAGTTCATGGCCTTTCTGACAGAGTTCCTATAATACATGCCTTTAATAAAAAATATTTTAATATTTCCAAGTATCTTTGATTACCTTTTTATCAAAGGATTTTTTATTTGTAGGTGCGAGTCTGGATGGAACTCATGAGATTTACAACCTACTTCCAAGTTCTTGAGCTCTTTTCTAAAGCCTAAGGAGGAGAGGGAAAATAATATTATTTAAGTGATCTTTTATAATTTATTCTATTTATGATTCTCCAAATTTACATAAGGTTTTCTATAAATATGTAATTCTCTTCCAATTAGCAAAAACACTAATTCTTCAAACCCAGCTCAAATAATGCCTCTCCTCTGAATCCTTTATACAAAACAAAGGGCTCTTTCCTCACTTCATTATCACTTGAAAATGTGAGCAATGCCTGAATAGTGCTATTCCTGCCGGATCATGTAGACCTATGTTTCCCTTGTTATGTGAGACACTCTGCTGACAACGTGGTGGGTAAAGTCTGCACCTGAAGACAGACAGCTTGGGTTAAGTTTGGATTCGCTACTTACTGGTTGGTAACTTCAAGCAAGCCTCTTAATTTCTTACAATCTCAGTTTCCTCATTTATATAATGAGATAATGGTATCCATTTTACCTCCCTCACAGAATTTGAGACCTCAACCTAATTAAAATGGGTGAGAGGGTATTATGATGACATGTCAAATGTTCTACCACCACTTACTGACTGCTGACTCAAGCTGTAAGAAGTTGATAGTAATTAGTTCATTTAATCTTTATAACTGAACACCATTTTTACTTGAAAAGATGACAAACTTCGTTCAGACTTGAGTACCTGGCAGAAATTTTCCTAAAAATTAAAGAAGTGAACCTGTCACTCAATTCAAAGAAAACAACTGGCAGTATTTATGCCAAATAAAAAATTTCAGCTTTTAGATGAATGTAAGAATTTTGCACAATTTGTATCCACCGTGAGTTTTTTAGTTTCCCAGTAACTATAAAGACTTTCTGCTAGTATCTGTGGTGATATTAACAAATGTGTGTCTTAAAAAGGTAAAAAGAAATGTGTCAACACTTGGAAGGCTTGCATAGTTTAGCAAGCCAACCTTTTCCAAATGAGGCTAATATGGATGTTACAAAATCATGCAGGAGTAAGTCATTCATTAAATGAATAAATAAGTATTTTAAAATTTCGATTTTAATGCCTAATACAGTAAATATTAACAGATGTAAACTAGGGAAACAAAAGATTTTGGGGTCCTCAATATATTTTTAAGAGTATAAAGATATCATGGGGTCAAAAAATTCATGAACCATCATGCTAAAAAGCTGTACAGCAAAGGACACCATCAGCAGAACAAAAAGGCATCCTACAGTGTGGGAGAATGTATTTGTAAATGACATTTCCGATAAGGGGTTAACATCCAAAATAAATAAAGAACTCACATGCCTCAACACCCAGAAAGCAAATAACTCTATCAAAAAATGGGCAGAGAATCGAACAATTTTCCAAAGAAGAAATTCAGATAGTCAACAGGCACATGAAAAGATGCTCCACATCGCTAATTATCAGGGAAATGCAAATTAAAACCACAATGAGATATCACCCCACACCAGTTAGGATGGCCAACATAGAAGACTAGGAACAACAAATGCTGGCAAGGATGCAGAGAAAGGGGAACCTTCCTACACTGCTGGTGGGAATGTAAACTAGTTCAACCATTGTGGAGGAACAAATGAGGTTCCTTTAAAACCCAAAACAGAAATACCATTTCACCCAGGAATTCCACTCCTAGGAATTTCCCTAATGTAGGATCCCAGTTTCAAAAAGAAGTATGCACCCCTGTTTATCGCAGCACTACTTACCATAGCCAAGAAATGGAAGCAACCTAAGTGTCCATCAGTAGATGAATGGATAAAGAAGATGTACATATACATAATGGAATATTACTCAGCCATAAGGAGAAAACAAATCCTACCATTTGCAACAACATGGACGGAGCTAGAGGGTATTACACTCAGTGAAATGAGCCAGGTGGAGAAAGACAAGTACCAAATGATTTCACTCATCTGTGGAGGATAAGAACAAAGCAAAACTGAAGGAACAAAACAGCAGCAGAAGCACAGAACCCAAGAATGGACTAACAGCTACCAAAGGGAAAGGGACTGGGGAGGCTGGGTGGGAAGGGAGGGAAAAGGGGTATAAGGAGCATTACGATTAGCACACATAACAGGTAGAGGCACGGGGAAGGCAGTATAGCACAGAGAAGACAAGTAATGACTCTATAGCATTGTACTATGCTGATGGACAGTGACTGTAATGGGGTATGTGGTGGGGACTTGATAATGGGAAGAATCTAGTAACCACAATGTTGCTCATGTGATTTAATATTAATGATAGCAAAAAAAAACACACTAGGTAAACGAGATACCGTTAAAAGAATACTTTCCAAGTTTGTTTTGGACCTATGCTACAGTTCACACATATTACATAAAACCAACTTTTTAAATCTATTTTAAAAACTACAGCTAGAGTTCTGACATTCTTGATACTCCAATCGAATGCCTGAAGGCATAGTGACATCCTCACTGACTTTCCACAGAGAGAAACCAAAATGACAGTCTATAAGTATTAAATTTTGAATACTTCTTTGAATTACAGAAGTATTCAAAGCACTATGTTCTTTGATTATTCCAATCTTTTGATATGTTATTATAAATGTTACTGCAAAACAGTATCAAAATAAATTTGTAATGCTGATTTCCCCCAGTGATAACTGGACAAGGAATTTCCTAAGCTTAACTAAAGGAGATGAGCTGGAAATTATTTAAGCAATAAAGGCACAGAACTACCCTCCTTCTATGCCTTCTCTTTTATCTCTTCTACCAATTTTAGGACCCTAGAAAACTGAATAGAAAGATAGGATTGTAGCAATCACTTGCCTTTTCTTTCCTTGTTAGTACCTCTGTATTTCTAAGATTTGAGAGAGAAAACTGAAACTGGTTACTTGAAATGTCTGAGAAAAATCAGTATTAACAATCAGCATAATGGAGAACTGACTGAGATAGGATATCTAACTTTTAACTCTACGCTTGCTTACCATTTCAAGATACATTTGTCTGCCTTTCTGTTATCTCCACCTGTACTTCTACTTGTGAAGTTATACTAAATAAAATGCCAGACTGTCTATTACAAAACAACAAAGAACAAACATTTATGAACCATTATTCTAATTATTGAAAAATAGTTGTATTTTAAAAGTCTCAGTCATACCTATTTTGTGAAACAATTCCCCTATGTATACCCAAGGAAACCAATGCTCTACAGCTGGTAAATGACACCATTCAGACCAATACAAGATTAACACAAAAACCAGTGTTCTTTCTACTACCTGCAAGCTCTCTTGTGCATATGCCACCAAAATACAAGATGGTTACACAGAATCTCCTTTTGATCAAAGTAAGACATTAGCATGAGTCAACATGATTTACTTTAATGTTCTGATATCCACAGAAGATAGCAAAATATATGGCATTAGCATGAATTTGCAATTAATTACTTATGCTTCTGTACAATGCTATCAAGTTTTTCTGTATTCTCCCTTCTTTTCAGATGACCTTTTCATCATGTTCTTTTATCTTAGTTTCCTCTCATTCTCATGCTTTCAGTGTAGTGTACACGGCCTCCTAGCAAACAGCAAAGTTTGCGAAAGGCCGTATTGAAGATTGTAAAGGAAACAAAATCAAAGGTATTAAAGCAGTAACTTTGTTTTTTAACATCCCAAAGAACTTGATCTTAAATGCCTTTTTTATTCCTACATTGATTGTACTGGCACATTAAAAAGAAAACTACCCTGTCACTCAATTCAAGTGGAATCTATAGTTGATCAAAACGTTATTAATCAACTTAAGATAATATCACCCTACAGAAAAAAATCTGTATTTATTTATGATCAGGCTCTCCAAGTTAAATCTTAAAATAATTTCCAGGGAAGAGTGTAAATATGAGAATTTAATGCCTATATGCAATGCTGCTTACGTAGTAATGTTATCTCCCAATAAAAAATGAGTAGAACTAAAAGTTCGGCATTCATTTGTTCAACATTTAATACCCTTAGTACTAGATTGCAAAAAGCTCTTTATTATTACGTTTCCTTTTTCTTACTGTTTCCCCTGAAGCTAGCACAGTTATCTAGCACATAGAAGACATGCCACAAAAGTCTATAGTATTAATAAACAACTGCATGAAGAGCATACCGTTTTCCTTTTTTTAAATCACCCCACCCTGTGTACCATGTTCTCAAATCCTAGATCCAGGATTAGATAAGTATAAATTAAACAAATACTTATCTCCTCCACCCCCAAACTATCTCAAGTCCATCAAGTGCCATACTAATAAAATCTTAAAAAATAAAGGGTGGTGTAATTTATCCCTGAGTGTCTTAGTTGGTTTTGCTGGTAAGCTTGACACACTGCCTGAGACTCAAAAACTAAGTCTCTCTCCACAACAGCTACTTTATGATTAAAAAAAAAAAAAGTGTAAAAAAGAACCTCAATAATTCTCCAATCTCTAAAGCCTAAAAAATTGTTAGGTTGAAGTTACATTATAATTTTCCACTTACTTGGATTTTTGACTTCAGAATGTTTATTTTTCGTCATCCATAATTTCAAGTTTAGTATTCATAAACACAAGAAAAAATACTCTATTTCCTAAAGAATTCTTTACTGTTATTAAAGTATCCATACGACAGACAGCAGGAGGCAGCAAAGGTTTTATAAGTATGTTCGGAATTTTAATATCACTGTGGCAGGCATTCAACCCAGTGGTTTGACTTCAGAATTCCGACTAACTTAAAAATAGATGTGTTATTTTTCTCTTCTGCTGACATAGACATCTATGTGTCTTTACTGGGAATTTTGGCTCCAGGTACCCTGCAAATCTAAGTCTGATTTTAACACTTTGCACAGAAGCAACCTCAATGTCAAGGCAAGAAGCTTTAATTAATAATGCTAACTTTGATAATGCATATACAAAAACCCAAAGCCCAACAATCAAATAACAATACATATTTCATTTGAAAAGATGACCCAGGTTTAAAACAGATTTACGAAACAAAAAATCAAACTGTTCATCTAGACAATGTAATCTTCACTCTTGTTGTATAGGGAGATTTCAGAAAATAACAGT